CGACTAGACGGGCGGCAAATGGAATCTGTGTTGCCCCTAAGATGCAGAAAGGCGTGTTTGCTGCTATTTCCCGCGTTTTTTCAGTGGCATACCGGTAGGAGGCCTCTTCTCCAGAGAACAGTTGACATAGCGCTTGTACATCGCCAGTGGCATTTTCTTCGTCAGACTTTAGCAATTTGAACAGGACCTCGTAAATCTCGGCTGACAAAAGGAACCCTCTGTTGTTGTCTGCGACTGTTTTTATCAGTCCCGACGAGTTACATTTCTGGATTACAGGGCTTGCAGAATCTGCTTCTGCCGTTACACTGGCAATGGGTGATATAGTGCATTCCTTGATTGCTTGTGATTTTCCAGTTGTTGGAGGGCCAACGAAGATTGAATAGATGTTGAGTGGCATTTCTTGTGTTGCAGTTTTCAGTGTAGTTGCAGTTCCAGCCATGAACGCAGTGGTAGTAATCAGAGTGGAAGAAACATAGCCAGGATTTGTGCTAATAGAGTGCGACTTGTTGAGAATAAAGCTCCAGACTTCGGCAGGGAAAAGTGTTTCAAATGGATCAGGAAGTGCGATTAGGCGTTTTTGAAGTTGGGCCCAAGTACTGTTTGGTTGTTTTCGAAGCTTCGTAAGGCGCAGGGTAGACATTCTGGAATGATGCGTTTGTCTCAAATGATGCGCTCTACATTGAGTTTAGCGATTCTGCAGCTAAAGGAATCCCCAAAGGGACTATTAAGTTATTGTAAGGAGATTAAACAAAGGGTGTGAAGTAATCGGTGAATGCTTTAGTTGCAGTTACTACTGTTTGATTAGTTTGTAGTTGTTTTGATAAATTTCATTCATGTGTCACCTGCGTCCGAATTGTGATTTTAAAAAAAACCAACAAATGCGTTCTTAAAAGCGAAATATATGGTTATGCTGTTCTGTGGGAATAGTTTTTTTATAATAATGTAAGATGTTAATTGTTGAATTGTGGAACTGCGTTGTGTAAAACTTAGAGAGATTTGAAGGTATTGTTTGTAGTTTGGTGTAATATGTGCCAGGAACAAAGACTGTGAACACTTCAAAGGAGGTGGGAAAATTAAAGAAATTAGCGTTTATATAGTTTCTTTGTTTGAGTTATTTCAATGGCGCTCAGTGAGGGCTAATACATGCTGGTCAATGTTAAGATAATTAGTTGTTTGCTCTGCAGTCGTTTATGCTGTTCTGGAAAATGTATACTGTTGTATGTCGTAAGATGTGGAGTGCAAACTGGGTGTTCGAAAGCTGATTTAAAAGATCAAAGCACTCAGTGCGGCAGCACTCAAGCAAGCTATCAAAGAAATGAGAAGCAAGAGAACTTCACATCATATGAAAATTTGCTAAGAGATTTGGGATTTTCTTAAAGTATGGTTCCAAAAAGGACGCCCAGTCGTACACTGGAACGATGACTCTTCCATCGTGAGTTCCCATGATCTGGGCTTTGTTGTTCCCAGTAGTGCTTGACTTTTCAACAAGGCTCGAAGCTCGTAAATAGACGATACGTAGGTGAGTTTGTATGATTTTTTAATCATCCCAAAGCAACGATCTGGTCCAAATTTCGGAGTAACTGCAGAATACCCTGTCACTGGAAAGTTGCACCTCTGAAAATAGTGGCTACTTGGCCACAAAGCTGACGAGTTACACAGGGCGAGGATGCTAAGTCGGTACATGGCTACGTGGTTACATGGCTAGGTGGCTACGTAGCTATATGGCTACGGAGCTACGAAGGTACATAGCTACGTAGCTACGAAGCTACGGAGCTACTTGGCTACGTGGCTACGGAGGTACAGAGCTACAAAGTTACGTAGCTACTTGGCTACGTGGCTACGGAGCTACAAAGCTATGTATCTACATGGCTACGTTGCTACGTGGCCACGTGGCTACGGGGCTACGGAGCTACAAAGCTACGTAGCTACTTGGCTACGTGGCTACGGAGCTACGGAGCTACAAAGCTACGTAGCTACATGGCTATGTTGCTACGTGGCCACGTGGCTACGGAGCTACGGAGCTACTTGGCTACGTGTCTACGGAGCTACGGAGCGACATGGCTACGTAGCTACATGGCTACGTGGCTAAGTGGCTACGTAGCTACGTGGCTAGGGAGCTACTTGGCTACGGAGCTACTTGGCTACAGACTTAAAAGGGTAATTGTGTACCCGGCTAGGAGGATAAAAAGTTGCTACGGGGCTAAGAGAGTACGAGGCCAATGTGGTATTTGTAAGGCGACCAGACAATTTCATAGTTTTTGATACTGCTAATGTTTATTTACATTATTAATGGCAATGAAAATGACTAAGTTCACTTTAAATTACAAAAATTTACATGAAAATTGTATTCGTTATGAAATGAGATCATAAATGTAGCTGTTTAAAAATGTATTGAAAATGGTGAATTGACAGAAATCTTGAAACTGTGAAATAACTATATGCTAATACGCATCAAATGTTCTTTACACGAATATTGTGTTCCTGTACTGTTCATTGCAAGTGTTACATATCTAAACATCTGGGAACATTTCTTGTGGAATGAAGTTTGCATCGATCAATGCCCGCTTGATAGCGGTAGAGATACATTTGTTGGCATTTTGATTGTACTTGGATCTATAGTCGTTTTGGCTGCATAAATCTGAGGGCCAGTTGACATTCTCAGGTTTTTGCTTGATGAACACTTGAACTGGATGTGGTGCAA